GCCCCTAAGCCGGGCCGGGCCTCAATGCAGTCCAAACGATTCCCCTCAAATCGACAGCTACTAACTACCAGTAACACGCACCCCTGATATGGATAGAATCGGATAGAAAAGTTGAGCAGTTGAGGAACACTTTGGGAGGGTCGAGGGAACCGAAGCTCAGAACTTCTTAGGTTGGGCTTCCGGATGCAGCCATAGGGCGTGTTCTCCGAAGCCAGGCCCGGGCAAGATTCGACACAATGACCCGCAGTCATGAAGAAGTTGTTACTTGCATCCTCAGCCAGAGTTGCAGTAAAGTGCCTGGGTAAATCTGTACTGCGGAAAAGGAAAATTCGACAAGTAGACTGACACATCTTCCGCGGAGTGCGAGAAGTTCTCACACAGCAATGGCTTACGCATCGCGGATGCTTTCTACCGCCTTGGGATATGATGCCACGGCAGAGCACACTGCTTCGACGCAGTTGCTGGAAGATGTCACCCTCAACGCTTAACCCTGAACCCCTTTTGCAACTGGCTTGCAACGTCACCCCCAGCACAACCCTAAATCCTAAACCCAAAACCTTAACCGCACGACACTCGACGGGAAGATCCCGACGGGTACAAGTAGGACCCCCTAAACCCTAAACCCTAAACCCAAGTAGGATGACCCGAGCTTGAAAGCCAGACATCCTGAAGCTTCTGGACTGGACTTTGCAAAGCAGTCGCGCAACCCCGACTCACTTTTCAACTTGCTGGTTTGCTTGCAGGTCTTTTTGTGGGTTTCGCGTTTAGGGTTTCGGGACCATGAGATGGAATGTTGATTGGATCTACGCCCTTTCCAGTGCAGCCGAGCCGGCGGGGCAGAGGTAAAGATACCTCATCGTCGGTTTGGGGTTTAGGCTTTCATAGGTTCATAATGAATCCTACAAAGTCTTGGTGATTGAATCGGCCTCCCGACTGCCCACGGAGTGGTGGCAGCCGTGGTCTTCGGTACGGACAGATAGGTTGAGGATTCTGTATGCGGGCTCACTTGGAGGTTCCATCATGAGGGCTTCAAAGGGTCAAGCATGGCAGCCCAAATGACAGGGAGGAGGCATCTTACCATATTTAGAGAGCCATGACGGCATTTTGTCGGTTTCCTTGTTTTCTGAAAGTCTCATCTGCTTCGGCCGTACTTGTCAGGTTCTAAGAGCAGAGGACATGCAGAGATCAGCATCCGAAGCTCAAAACTCCCAAAGCATATTCAAACCTTTAGCCCTTTAGTAATGCTACTGAGCTGTAGCAGAGGGTCGAGATGACTTTAACCCTAAACCCTACATTCTATGACCTTTATGCCTAGATGTTACCTATAGTCTCCATTGTAGTTCGGTCAGAATGCAAATGTCCACAGAGATCTGCAATTCGCTACTTGGATGGAACGCAAGGGCGGCGGCTTCCAGCCAGAGAGCCCTAACCAAGGAATCAAGCACCTCTGAAGCTTACGTTGAAGCAACAGGAGCTCTGAAGCCAACTTAGAAGCAACAGCAACACAGGAGACTATAGGTAGGGTCCGTGAAGCTTTCGACCTCTGGCGGCTGAGATGCGGCTGATTCTTGACGGCGAAGTCCGCACCGCAGGCCTGTCTGAGGCGAGCCGTCCGTCGAGTGTTTGTTCGGGGGCTTTAGGGTTTAGGGTTTATAGTCTCTCGCAACTCAGACCTCACTGGCTGAGGCTTGCTCTTAGGGTGTTTAGGGGTCCTTCTACAAGTCTCCAGGGTTGCAGGGGCGACGAGAGAGCCATACCGAGGAAGAACGGATTAAGGATTTTTGGGCCCGGGGTGTTGGTTCTTTGGCCTTAAGTGGCGGGCTAAAGGCCGTGGAGTTCTGTGGCTTGGAGTTCGGGTTAGCAACCAGGACACCGAAGCTGTTGGAGGTCAGCCGCTCTCTGCATAAGAGTTTAGGCCTTAAAGGTTTAGGATGCTGTATAACAGATTACTAGGCAGAGTCATATAGATATACTATGGGAGTTTCCATAATTCAAGGGCCCCCAACATAGACCCCAATATTAGTAGAATCCTCCTTGCAAGGACCCCCAAAAGGGACCCACAACTTATGGAAACCCCAAAATAGTTTTTACAGATATCCAGGGACGGTAAGCTATCAATTGCAGCGGGAACTAATCGGAGTTTGCTCAAGGCACCCCAGGGCCCAGAAGAAACTATACCAAGGGAGTCCAAATCTATAACCGAAAGAAACAGGACGTATATACCTTATCCTAAGAAACCCTGGTTTACGCTCCCGCAACACCCTATAAGAAACCCAGGTTTAGGGCTTAGGGGCTACCTCCGCACTGCATGGTACACTATCAGAAGCTCGTTTGAAGGTCCAGTCCTTCCAAGACTTGGAAAAAGAGGTCAACAAGTTTGATCCTACCGAGTACTTTTTTTGGATCAGGACTTCTCGGGTACTGCAAGGCTGACGGGTTGTGTAGCGTAAGCAGAATTTCATTGCAATGCCAACAGCTATATCTTATTCTACAAGCTTGCTTGCAGCTAAGCATGAACCAACCACAAGCTAACCGATTGGGCCTGGCCATCAGCGTCCCGTAGCCCCAGTATCAAGTGGGGGTTCCCTTCACGCTCGGCGTAAACCTCGATCGGATGAACATGTGGCACTCAAATTGCCAGAGGCCCTAAGTCAAACGGTATTTGAGTCGGGCTCCTCCGGAACCGGTGTCGCTGTGGCCCAGAATTGAATCGAAGGTTCCTAGTTGCCAAGGACCTCCTTCTTCGGATGTTTCCAAGGAGTACTCCATTTGGAGGCGGCTCGGGATTGAAAACATACAGGAGTCGCAATTCCTGAGCACGGAACAAGCTGTACATAGAGCTTCAAGGTCTCTAGAGGGCTTGGAATGTTCGGAATCTGACTTTTCAGCTACCCAAACTTTGCCCCCAATCATTCCAATCCTGAGGCTCTGACCAGAAGTCCCGCGAACCTTGGCCGACGCAGCCACGACTGTGACTCTGTAGCGCTACGTGGGCGGGCCTAGGGTTCAAAGTAGCCATGGTCCAGGGATGTTGCGAATCCGATACCTCGTGCGAAAAAACTGACAATGTCATGCAAACCAAAACCGCAAATATCAAATACGTGTCAACAACCGGGAGAAGTTTGAGGACAATGTGCACAAACGACAAAAGCACTACAACACCACGGCAAACAACAACAGCTATTGAGGCCCTTTCGCCTTGGGAATGTGCGGGCTTTGGGAAGAACTGCTGCCCAAAATTTCAAGGATGATGTTGAAGCGCTTTACTTGCATTGTATCGGAAACACGACGTTTATCTGACTGTAAACACTCTTCTGGACAAGGAAAACAAAGGCAACTTTGAAAGGGGCTCGGGCTCGTCATCTTCAGAACCGACATGCCCAACCCGACAAGACGAGTACTTAATTTGAGAGCTGGTAAGCGCTTGTACAGAAGTACAAGTACATAGAAGTATGAGACTGTAGCATGATGGACGGGACGACCCTCACTCTGACATCCACCTGCGACATGGGAGCTTCCGAAATTGGGGGGGTCCTTATAATGAGGATCCTACTATTTGGGGTTCTATATTAGGGTTCCCTATTTCGGAAACCCTCACATCCACTAGAGTCACTAGATCCCACGTCATGCGTCGGACTCGGCTCCCCGATACCTGCCATGGCCCTAAGGCCGCTAAGGAAGCCGAGCAGCACTCCTACTGCTAAGATGAAGATCCCGCAGCAAGGGAGGTCTGTTGTTCGTCTGCGTGTTTCTGATGGCCGGCTGCTGAACATCCCACCTGCAGCGCAGCATGCACTGAAACAGGGAATCGGCCCGTCTGCGCATGCTTTACTTCACGACTGCCAAAAATGCACGTATGTGCACACACGCACATGCACTCTCAGACCTATACCCATACACACGCACACCGATATTACCATGTGTTCAGCTTCACGAAAGACCTGTACACCGCGTCAAGCCAACCAATTCAGACTTGTCTTGTACATGTTGTATGTGTGACCATGACAAAAGGACACAGATATGGTCTTTACGGGGTGTCTTGAAAAGACATGGGCATGGAAGCTTCAGCGAACGTCACATAAGTGAGACTCCCATGGGGATGCAGTACGACTGGCGGCACAGTCTGATGATACAGGAGCAATCCGAACTCCCTGTTCCTGAAGGACTACCCCGAACAGTGCCGAGGAGCCCCTGTCGCGGCTTTCGCGCACTCGGGCAGCTTGCAGATTCCGGCCATGCGAGGTACCGTTCTACGAACCGAAACAGCTCACGGTTATTGGACACATGCCGGCAATAGCCCTTGAAGCCCCTGTAAGTATTGCTATCTATCCAAACCCTACTATCATATGTTTATTATACTATCTTGTTTCTGAAGCCGTACCGCCATAATATGTCCCAACAAACCCGAAAGTTGCCTCAATTGGGAGGCTAGCGGTTGCCACGATGGCTGATGCTTGCAAGTCCGTGATGCTCTGGCAGGCCTGTGATATGGGGAGCCTTTATTTTTAGTATGCCAGAACTACAAAGACACCAAGGGATAGTATTCCTAATTGTTGAGCCACACAGGGTTCGTGCCCAAATCAAACGAAATCTGCCCCCAGCCTGGCTTTGCACTAACTGAAGGTACACAGTTGACGTTGAGAGATGTTGAGCGAAACCTACACACAAACCTACATCTTCAAAGCCTCACGCACTGAACCCGAAACCATCAAAGCCCGAAGTCTTGGAACGCTGAACACTAAGTCCGAGAACTACCAAGCCAGGATTTGTCTAAGGCCGTTCTGCTTAACCTTCATCCAGACAGGTGCTGCACTTGAATTGACGTTTCTTGATAGTGCCTTTCTGTGGTTATTCATAGCAGTGAACAAACGAAAATGATGGCTAATGCTACATCACTGTTGCTACTAGTCCTTCTTAGGCCGCTTAGGCCCAGCAGCGGTTTGGGAAGTAAACTTGTCGTCGGGAGTCCTTGCTCGAGAACCCTTGCTGAAGCTCCGGACGCATCACACTTGGCCGCTGCGTTTCGCAAGGCCTCTGCTTGGACCTCAAAGCTTAGTGGTCGCAAGGTACGAGGGGTGCCTGTTTAAGAGTCACTACAGCACATGAGCATCTTGCTCGTTTGGGCTCTTCAACCACTGCCAGACATGCCTTTGCTTCGCATCCGGGGGGTTCTCTGGTCTCTAGGAAAAGGAAGCTCCACTCTATGATAAACAGAAACATGCGGGCTGAAAGAGGCAAAAGTCGCCTTGGCTTACTTAAGCTCTTTACATGAGCTCGCACCGTCCGATCTCAGGCGCCGGCACAGAGAGTGAGGTAGTCGAGGTTCTGAGCATGGCTTGGCTCGGCTCGCTGGCAATAAGGGTAGTAGGCTTCCGGGCTTTCGCCCACAACAAGAGCGGCAGCGGCAGTGCCACATAACCGCTGCATCGGACAGTGCTACGTTGCCATACAAGTGGTCACACCACTGCATACATACATTTTTTAATATATTTGTACATATATATATATAGGTAGATGAACAGAAATATACTTTTCCACACAGGTGTGTATGCATGCACGCATGTGTAAGGGATAACGAACAGCAGAATCGTGTCACAAAACATGTATAGCATAGCAGCATTGTTTGCCCCAGCCCGGAACCGACACCCTTCGCTGAAGACCGTTCGAAAACCACACGCCGGTGAATGGTTTTCAGCGCCCGTTAGATGTGCATGCGACTTGGTTGGCCCTGAAACCCTATAAACCCTAAATTGGCCATCAGTCATCAGGTTTTCGCAAAGCTGTCCCGACAGTCCTGCGCGGTCTGGACGCCTTGCACCAGCACGAGAGCCTGATCCGATAATGCGAAAAGTGCTTGGAATTTTCAGAGGCCGTCGAAGTTTGTAGGGTCTCAGCACTCACAACTGGGACAAGCCTGGCGAGGTTCAGGGTTCAGGGAACTTCGGAGGTCAAAAAGAAAGACTGAAAGTTGAGGAGCGACGGACTCAAGCTGCTTGGAGCTCCGAAGGGGTGTCGAACAGAAGGCGCGCTGTTCAAGCAGGGAAATGCCGATGAGGTTTCATAGTGTCTGTCCCGAGATGGACCAGAAACTCTCTATCCGTCAATCATAGCTAAGCATGCCGAACCCATACCGAACCCCGATCCCAAAACAAAAACGACAGGCTGAAACGGAAACAAAATCCAAGATTTCTTCGGGGCCGTGTCACTGGGAACCCGCAGGAAGCATTGATCCCCCTTGGGCTCCTCGCTTTTAAATACGCGTATTAAATAGTCGACTATACTATACTATACTATACTATACTATACTATATTGTGCCCCCCAAAAAAAACTGTTCCCATTATTCAGAGGGATTCTGATGCTAGCAGGGGCAGAATGACCTGCAAAAAAACATATATCACTCCTCTCCCTCCATCACCACATCTGTGTCTTGCTCTCTGCAGCCTGCATATGCATACTCCCTGCCCGTGCTTCTTCATGCGTTTCTCTCGGTCTCTCTAGTGCTCTCTGTATCTCCCTTTGTCTCTCTCTGATTCTCTCTTTCATCACAACATGACCAAGAGGACAAAGACCGCTTTCCTGTGCAGATGTGCAGGCCGAGTTTGATGCTTGCTGCGCCGTAATTTACGTTCTGAAGCTGCTCAAGGTGGGGACACAATCGGGAACTGCCCATAACAATTAACAAGATGAAGAGCACGGCACATGACTGGCGCCCTATCTAAATGCTGATGAGACGCAGGAGTGATGCAAGGATTCGGGCAATAGTGCACCTACCTTACTGAGAGATGTCGTTCGACACTGTTGTGAACCAGCCGAACCTTCAATCTAAGCCCTCAGCGAAGCCAAGACTGCAACAACCGGCACCTTCAGGTGCGCCAGCCTCTCGGAATAGCCCTTGTCCTCGCGGTAAGAGTGCATGAGGTATCTCTCTATATCTGTACATATACATATACATATACACACACACATACACATACACATACACACACACATACACACACACATACACATACA